AAATCCGATATTTGAATTTTCATTGGATTTTTTAAAATATTATTATTATTATCATTTATTATTATTATTATTAGAATTATTTTATTCAATTTTTTGAATTTAAATTATCCATAAATAATAATATTTTTCAATGCGTAATATTTCCAAAGTTTGATTTATTGCTAATAATGTCAAATAAATAAATAAATAAAATTTTTATTTATTTATTTATTAATATTTAATAAATAAAATGACTGACATTTTAAATTAATAATAATAATAATAATGACGACGACGATGATGACGATGGTAATAAAATTGAAAAGACATAAAAAGAAAGAAATGTTTATTCGTTTTCGTTATAATAATTATTATCGCTCAATTAAAGATTGATAATAACCGATCGGGACACCCGGGAGGGAGGGGAGGTGAGGAGGGGAAGTAATTTTTATTTAGGTCATTTTAAAAAGGGTCGTTCCTTTCGAAACGTTTACCCCTTTGAAAATAATTTTCTTAAATATATATATATAAGATGGAAAATTGTTTAATTTACCGGATGATTCAAAAACAGTTTGGGGGGGGGGAAATAGTAATAATAATAATAATAAATTGAAAAATTTTATGTACCGGAAATAATAACAAGTTGGGTTATGTTGTAAACTACCTATTGGAAATTAAATTGATTGTGGTTATATGAAATTTTTTTTATTAATATTTTAATTAACCCTTGTTAACTATATTTATCTAATTTGTATCACGATAATTTTATATTACGAACACCGGGGGAAAACAAAAAAAAAAAAAAATTAAATTTGCATGTCTTATTTAAAATGTGGTTAAATATGGGTTAACCCGGTTACAAAATTTTTATTATTCTCGTTAAAAAAATAAAAACAAACAGACAAACAAACAAACAAACAAACAAAACAAACGAAACAAACAAAACAAAAATTTATGTTTTTAAAATAATATATTTTTATAGCCGTTTATTTTAGCACTACAACAAAAAAAAATTAAATTATTTTTTAAAAATTTAATAATAATAATAAAAAAAAAAAGGGAAATAACAATAATAATAATAATAATAATAATTTTTTTGTTGTTGTTTAATTTTAAAAAAATTAAAAATATTAAAAGCGGTTTTTTTGTTTTTTATTTAAATTTCACGAATCGCTTTCAGCTATGATTTTAATTAATTTTTTTTTTTTTTTAATTATAATACGTGCGCACAATAACGAGGGGGGGAAAACCGTTTTTTCTAGAAAATTCTTATTATTAATACGGAGTAAAAAAGATAAAAAAAAAAAAAAAAGGTTAGTAAGAGTTTGGAAATAATAGAAAAAAAATAGAAAAAAGATGGTAATGCGGTTGCCAGATAATAATAATAGATTGTTTGTTATTATTGGTTAAAATATTTGGTTAGTTTATATATATATATATAGTAGTAAGCCTTTCAAAGAGTATATTGAATGTTTTACCGGATGGAAGGTTCGAGAATTGGAAAATAATCGGATTAAAAAGACGTTTGGGAAAACCAAAAGGAAAGGTTAAATTTATTTATATATATAACAACTATTTGGATTTTGATAGAAGGTTTACTCCCTTAAAATCCGAGGATTTTAAATTATTTTATTACTTAAAATCCACCCTTTTTATTAATAATAATAATAATAATAATAACAACAACAACAAAAAAAACTCAAAGAAAAGAATAATTTTTTATTAAAATAAGTTTAATATCGGGAAATATCTGAATCTCTTTTCGATTTATCTGATTGGTCGATGAATCCGTCGTCGAATCAAAACAAACAAACAAACAAACAAACATTCAAATATCTGTTTATTTACGTTTTGTGACGTATTGATATTCGTCATAAGTCGTTATAAAAACGAAATAAAATTAATTTTACGTGTTTTTTAAAATAATTCCCCCTCCCCCTCAAAAAAAAACGATAATGATAATAATTTTAACGAATTCAAAATGGCGACAATTTTTCATTTTTGTCGCGGAGTTGTAGACTTTAAATGGTGATGGCGGTGGTGGGGGGAGAAAACAATGTTGACGCGTTAAATTTTCCAGGTTTGTGTTTTCATTCGCTTTGTAAATTTTTTCCCGATTTATTTATTTCTATTCGACTTGTTTTAAAATAATAATAATAATAATAATGGAAAATTTTTTTTCTCGCGAAAAATAAGAAGAAAAGAAAGTTATTATTATTATTATTATTACTTCCTTTAATAAATCAATAAATAATTTTTTTTGTTGTTTTTCTTATTCGACGTCTGTTCCGCCATTTTTTTTTGTAGAGAGGAAGAGGTTGGTGAGGTGAGGGAAGGGGGGAAAGAAAACAAAAAAATTTCGAATTTTGAAATTGTTATATTTGGCGGGAAAATTGTTTTTATATTAAAATGTTTTTTTTTTTTCATTACATCCGGTAAAATTTAATTGACCGTTTTATTTATATATATATGTAAACTGGGTCGTTGTGTATACACCTGAGACGTTTTTTTTTACCCTTAATTATTTTTTTATATTTTTCCACCCTTATTTCCCATCCCCCCATTATATTCTATTTTTATTTAATAATTTCAAATCGGTTTTAAAAATAAAATTAAAACATATTTATTATTATTACTATTATTATTATTTTGTTTTGTTTTTAACAATATATACCCCAATTTTGAGATATGTTGTCATATTCAGGTATATAATAAATAAACATCGTCAACGATGACGTAATTAAATTAGTTTTTCTATATCTCGCATTTAAACATTATTATTATTTTTTTTTTTTCGCTCGCATAAATTCTAATTACTTTATTATTATTATTATTATTTTATTTTCGAAATTAGTTTTCGACTTAATGATTATTATCATTCGGAAACCATTTTATTTCCCTCTCCTTACACCCAATTCCTACCCCTACCCCTACCTCCCCGATTTTTTTTTTCGGTTGAATTTGACCTTAATTTAAAATTAAAAACGATTTATTGTCCGGCGTTTGAGTTTTTTTGTCGTCTCCCGCCACGTCCGATGTTCCGAGAGAGAGAGAGAGAGAGAAAGAGAAAGAGAGAGAGAGTGAGAGAGAGAAAGAAAGAGAGAGTGAGAGAGAGAAAAAGAGAGAGAGAGGGAGAGAGAGAGAGGGAGAAAAAAATTTTTTTATTCCCGGTTTTAAAAAAAAAAAATTTTACAAAATGCGTTGAAGAAAGGGGACTGAAGAGGGTGAGGTAGGGGGCGGGGGGAAGAGAAAAGAGGAAAAAATCAACAAAACCTAAATTAATAATTTTTCCGTTACGTATTCAAATCATAATTTTGACTTTTCCGAACGATTTTTTTTGTAAAAAATTTTATTTTTCGAATTGTTGTTTACTAGTGCCTTCTGACGTTTATATATATATATATATATATATATATATATATATATATATATAATAAAAAATATAATTAATTATTGATGATCGATCGTTACACGGTCGATTGCAAAATAATAGATGGGTTGGAACAAAAAAAAAAAAAATTAAATTAATGGCTTTATATTTATATATATATATAAAACGTTCGAGTGATTTAAAAAAAAAAAAAAAATTGTTTTTCCTAACGTCTGTCATATTGATAAAGTTAAAAAAAGAAAAATATGTGTGCGTGTGCGTATAAAAGAAATTTTCCGCAGTGATTTTTTTCTCTCTCTCTCTCTCTCTCTCTCTTTAAATGAAAAATTTTCCAAATACTTTTTCTTTTTTACGTCATTTTGGTTTTTCCATAAGATTTCTTAGATTAAAAAAGAAAAAAATTACACCGGTAATAAATATTTATAAACGGTAATAATTTAATTATTTTATTTTAAAAAAAAAAAAAAATTATAGCCATTTTCATTTTCGTTTTCGTTTTTTTTTTTTTTTAATTAAAAACTCTTAGAGTCAGAATTTTTTATTATTATTATTATTAAATTACGAAATGAAGGGGAGAGGGGGGAGGGGTAGGGGAAGGAAAAGATGTCATTCGAAAAAAAAAAACCGCATTAGAATTAATTACTTATTTTATTATCTATATATTTTTAATTTTATTATTTATTTATTTATTTCGCATTTCGTATTTATTACTTTTCGTTAAAAAAAAAAAAAAATAGAGGGTAATAAAATGTTAACATTTTTTATTATCATCATCGTCGTCGTCGTCATTACTAAATTGTTATTTTTAATAAATAATAATATTTATTTTTTTTTGTAATGTTTTTTTTCGCCGGAAGAGCG